CTCGTGTCTGCTTATTGATGAAAAACATTGAATTATCAATTAATGCCGAGGTTAACAGAAAGTCGGTCATGGGAATTAAACTAGTATATTTCAGCCTCCTCCTAACGGTTTACCGCCTCATTGTGGTTGAGAGGTGTTCCCGGGTGTCGGACTGCGATGTGCAGCAGAGGGATTCGTCCCACAGGCAGGGTCTGCCAACCTGAGAAGGTCCGGTGTTTCCATCAGAAAGCCTAGCTAAGAGTAAACCAATACCAGGATCCACCACCGTCCTGGCATCAAAGTCGCATGGTGGCAAATCTCCCTCTGATCTGCAAGGTCTGAGACTGCCTGTAGTGGTTACGACCTGGGCAGACTTTGGCCAGGCTGACCTCGAGATTCCAGGGAACTACAATAGATTAACCAGCAAATCTCCAAAAAATGGTGATTATGTTAGGGCCCGCACAACCAGTGAGGATCGGCCGTTCAAGTATCAAGTATGAAGTAAGCATATTTCAGCCTACACTGAACTCAACTAACTCAAATAAAAACTGTTAGGATCCAAACCTTATCAATTATACGTCTTTCCTTGTTCTATTTAAATAAAATTAGAACTTTTTAGACACCAAAAGGACGCATTTTTTCTCTGGTGTTTGGATTTAAATCTTAGTGCGATTTAAGAAGCGGTACTTTGTCCAACTGGACATTGAGGTGCTCCGAAATATTCCTTTTGTACTTGCCGCTTTCGCAGTGGAAAACTGGAACGCCAAATAACACCTTGAATTTCCTTGGAAATGTTAATTTTGAACAAATTTATAGATTAAAGAGTATTCAATTTAGAGCGCAAATAAAGCAGGGGTTAGAGGTGTCCTGCAATAGACACGTAGTCGCTTGCTCGATCACACACGCCTCGCTACATTGATTTCATTCATCGGCCGGCTACTGCAACTCATTTTATGGGCCAAATATTTATTCAATCACTTCTACAACATTGCAGATGAAGTGAAATTTATAGCGTATTGCTCAGGTATTGATAAACACTAAGCGCTTTGTCTTTTTTTACGCTTTATAAATACTCTTTGAGCGATAGAGAACACCTATGAAGTTCTCAAATTCCACATGGCACCTGTGCCCAAAAAAATCTGAAGGGTTGCCAAAATCGAGAATGCATTGAAGTCATGATTTTCCAAGCGTAAACTGTATTCAGTGAGAGCAATCAAAATTTCTCCCTCCTACTTTTTCAACAGAGTCTCATTCTCCTTCTTTTACAGAACAGATTTCTTCATAGAGTCTCATTCTTTACACATCAAATGTTCCGCGACATTCCTTACTTTTTGCATTTCATAACTATAGCAACCTTGATGAATCGTTTAAGAAAACACAACGGACAACTGTTAAAGCGTTCGGGGTTGATCAGTGATCAATTCCCTAGAGGCTTCCCTTCCAATCCACTTCATTGGTAGCATTGCAGATGCGACTAGATGCATATTGGGTTCACGGAATGAACTGCTGGTGCCCAGCAATGAATTATGCCAGTGTTTCTATCCTCCCAGAGACGTCACGTACCAATTCGCTGCCTCCAGAGAGATGGAGAGCTTGGTTTTTTATGGGTGTGGGATTGAACGAACGGGCTTATATCGTTTTCAAAGCACCCCTAAACAGGGCAGTGCATATAACAAATTGTAACTAACGTATATCCTCTTTGATCTGACGAATGAGTTCCTCGTTATCGGCCTCCACAAGACTATCACGAGTCAAATGATGAATAATCCCAGCTCCAAAACCATCACCGAGAACGTTCACTGAGGTTCGAATCCGATCACTAAAACATAAAAGCTATTAGGTTGTTCAGAACTAAATGAGCCTTTTAAAATATTTATTGTTTCAATGTATTTTTTGCCAACAAAATATTCTTCGTACCCTGCAATATTATGCATCATTAAAAAGCTAATTTTATGCTATTTGTATCTTGTCTTTATGTCTTCATATTCCGCCAGAAATTAAATTTTTTTACTGATTTTCAGCCTTGCAATTTTAGTTGTCAAAAACGAATTTTTGTCAAATTTTCTTTTTTGAGTTCAAACTCGGTCGTAGTGCAATAGAGACGGCAAAAAACATTAATGAAGTTTACGGCGAAGTTCGTGCTGCTAAATCAACAGTGCGAACATGATTCAAGAAATTGCGATCTGGTGATTTCGATCTCGAGGATAAGGAAGGCCGCAGACCTCCCAGTGAACTTGACGGCGATGAATTAAAGGCAGTGCTGGAAGCAAGCAAGCGAATAACTGTTCGCGAGCTTGCAGTACAGCTTGGTGTAAGCACAGGAACAATCCCCATTCAACTTCAATGATGCTGAGATATTTGCAAAACTCCGGACCGCGGTAGGGAACGAACGCGCTATTGTCCTTTCCGGGGAGTAGCGCGTTCACCACCACACCACGCGGGTCCTTCGTTTCGCCTATCTCTCAGCTAGTTCTTTTCACAATGTATACCCTACCGTTAAAAAGAGAAGGCAGTAAATAACAAGTTAAAATCCCCATTCATTCGAATCGCATAGGAAAGACAAAAAACTAGACAAATGGATGCCTCACGATTTAAACGATAATCAGAAAAATCGCCGTTTTGAAGTTTCGTCTGCTCTTATTCTGCGCAACAAAAACGACCCTTTTCTCGATTGAATTGTGATGTCCGACCAGAAGTGAAAACCAGCGACGTTCAGCTCAATGGTTGGATTGCTATCAGGATCCACAACACTTCCCAAAGCTGAAATTGCACCCAAAAAGGTTGTGGTGATGGTTTGGTGGTCTGCAGCCGGGCTGATTCATCACCGTTTCTTGAATCCCGCCGAGACGAATAGGATAGAAAAGTATTGCCAACAAATCGACGTAGGCACCGTAAACTCCAACAACAACGACCAGCATTACTTAACAGAAAAGAACCAGTCCTTCTCCACAACAACTCCCGGCCTCACGTTGCGGAACGATGCGGAAGTTGAACCAGTTGGGCTACGGAACTTTGCTTTATGCGCCATATTCACTAGAATCTCACCCACTGGCTATCACTTCTTGCAGCATGTCGACAACTTCCTAGGCCAGAAATGCTTCAACAACCTCGATGACACGAAAAAAAATGCCTTCAGCGAATTCATGGCTTTCAGAACTCATTAATAAACTTGCTTCTCGTTGGCAAAAATTCGATTCCAATGGTTTTTATTTTGATTAGTAAAGCCTTCCTTGAAGGAAGTTATATGAAATTTTAAATAATATAATTGCAAACGCCCATTTATTTCTAAACAATCTAATGGATTTTCTCCATTTTAAGTTGTTTTTTAGACAACACTAGACTGTTTTGACAAAATGTGAAAAATACAATACCTAAAAGATACAAGAATAAGAATGTCGCCAAGTTCATCGACACTCTTTCGCTAGTTATTCTCTACTTGAAAAAAAGCTACTTTAACAAAGCTATGAAGAAAGTCTATAAGGATGGAATCAATGGCAAGAAAGATTGAAGTATTAGCTTATGACGTAGGCTGTAACGGAAACAAATTTTTAAATAATTCAAAGTAAAGGAATTATTAGACCAATATCATTAACATTTAAACTTGTAAATCTGGTAGTAAAAGTTCCCTGATAATTCCAACCCCTTTCGCGACTGTAAACATTTTCACGTGAGAAGTTCGCCGGACCAAGTGTTACTGGAGCCCAATCGGATAGTGCATTGAAATCAAGATTTATTGTCCGCAGTATCCATCAGCATACACATCGAAATTAATGAGCACGGTCCCGCAGTGTTAAACAATAATCGATAGTTGAAAACCAAACCCTGTGAAATTTCAAAAATGAAACCTACTTTAATAGCAGCTATACTTCACATTTGAACTAAAACCCGAAGGTGATTAACTACGACACCTGGTGCTTTTTATTTACTGCTGTTCAAGAACATCAGTTTTTTTCCCAAACACGACAACACCTTCCTAAGAAATGAATTATCTCATGGCAAAATTATACCAATGTGTTTCATGAATACAAAAAAAGAAAGAAGAACGTACAGTAACCAGTCAACGGTGAGCAACAAGCTGAGATCTTTTGCTGGTAATCCGACAGTGGTTAGCACGATGACAATTGTGTCCAGTCCTGCTGGCACCGAACCAGAACCAATTGAGGCGACAGTGGTGGTTACACTAAGACGCAATAGGCATAACGAGATGAGAGCATTCCCATAAAGGTATGGAATTAGAGGATATAATCCACAAAAACAGTGTTTTTCAAAGAACTAACAACTACTATCAAAAAGCAACAGAAAACTACCAAGATGACCCTAGTTTTAAAAACGTTTCCATAAATTAGTTCTTATTCTATTTTATATTTTATTTTTTATTTTATTATATATTTATTTTATTTTATTTTATATATATAGATATTTATTATATCTTTATTCTATATTTATTTATATTTTCCGTTTTATACGACCCGTCTTCACGTCTACTGTGTGGATCCCAGTACTGCTCAAATTCGATTCGATTCCTAGCATCCATTATCCACGAAGGACCCCAAACTTTTACATGTGGCTTCGGCTGCTGCTTGAGGATATTCGTTTCGTCTTGAATATCGTAGAAAGCTGGTCAAGTCGATTCTCGCTGGAGTTCTGAGATAGCCGGTCTACAGCGTTTCCTCTCGCACTGCATTTCCCGAACAAACGTAGTATCAATTCCGCGGTCCCAGAAGGATGGTAGGCTTGTTGAGCCGGGTGTGGGATCGAACCACTACCGTACTCGTAATATCCGGCACCACTACCACTGTGCTATCCGCCCCTCATAAATTGGTTATTGGGGGAAAATTTTATTACATGGCACAAGTAATATGAGAGGATCAAGAAGCATTTAAATCGCACTAAAACGTAAGTGGATATTCGGGACATTTTTCCTACGACCATCCTAAGCAAGCTCTAATTGGTTAGCATGAAATTTATCGTCTGTGTGAAAAATTATTCAGAAGTTTCTCTTCATTGTTCTGTTTCTCTTTCTAGCATAGTTTCCATAAAGCATTCCAACTACATAAAAAAATAAATTCCTCTTTTTCTAAAGCAGGTGAACTCTTATAAAGTTATAACTTATAAGGTTGATTAATGCTAGAAAACGAGTGTTGTACGATGAAATGTGATCAGATATAAATGGGAAAATGGTTTTTTAAGCCAAAAAAGTTCAGAGTACTTAAATTCATTTTGGATAGATTTGTCGAGCGGCGAAACATACCTAATTGTTAGCAACTCGAGAAGAGTGAGCTTAATGTTGTGGAGTTGAGCAATAAAAATTACAGCAACTGCCTCATAAAGAGCTGTACCGTCCTTAATTAATAAAAATATTAAATAAAAACCGAAAGTTAAAAGCAAAGAGAAGCAGAAGAAAGTGTTCAGATACCACAAAAGCACGAAAAGCGAAAAAAAAAACGAAATGTAATGTTTGATTTACATCTCTTTCATTATAATCCTCCTGGTCTACCATATTTTCTTACATGCTAGTGGATTTGCTCTCATTCTTGATAAAGCCATCAAAACTAAGCATGAAGAAAATTAGGGACAATATGACGGTGACGGCGGTCGTCGACAAGACTTTCACCCAGACCCTTATAAGAAAACAGGAATGTTCTCGGATATTCGGAGGAAGTAGTTATTGTGATTCGTAGAGCGTTTTTTCTGCACTCTGCTAACTAAAATCTGCTTGTTAGGTAACAAGAAACACCCCGACGTTGTTGGCTTACTCATAGCTGCGAAACCGATTTTGCACGGAAGAATCTAACTCGTCAACAACAAGCAAACTACTGGTATTAAAGGAGTGAGAACCTTTGATGGAGATTATAATGGAGCGACCAGTAGCAATTCTTCATCCCCCAACCCTTTGCTAAACAATCCAGTTTAGTACTTCGCATTCATCCCATATATACGAATTGGACCAAGTAAGTATGTTTTCCGTTCGGTCACGACATCTTTTTGGTTTTTTCTTTTGTAAATTTTGGCTGAGTATATGAAAGATCTAACTCATTGAGACCGTTTTCAAAGTTAAAGTCAAGTTGTTGGTTACGGCATCACGAATCGTATTTCAGAATGATTTTGCTACCTCTCTATGCCTTCTACGTCTTTATTTCGAAAAATCGCCTACCATAGTGATTGTGGCGCCAAGTGGTAGGACAAATCGTGTTACTCGGCGGTCGATCTTCAGATTTTCCTCTAACGCTCGAAATGTAACCGGCAGTGTCGCACCGCTAAAACTTAAAATTATGAAAACTCCACGTTATCAAAACAGAAAAAGATACGATAAAAAAATCCAGCATTTAATGAATAATGAACAACATCAATCAGTCATTTAAAAAAGGAGTTTGCCATATCTTCAATACCGCAAATTGTTGGATACAACAAAATATACCAGGATCAGATATCGAGGCTACAGTATTCAGGACATGACTTGCTAAATATGACTGCAGTATAGACTCTTTTTCAAGCATAATTTTTTCTAAGGCTTTTTAAAAGATCCCATGCCAAGTCCCTCCATCCATAAAAAACCATTTTTAGAGAGCAAAATCATAGTCGAATAAATATAGGCTATTTAAGAGCCAACACCATCACGATCATGTTATAATTTTTCGTAAATTTCTTTAAATATGAAAAAAGACAAGTTCCGTTTCGCTTACAGTCTTCCTAAGCAAAGAGTACATGTAATATTCTGTCCTTAGATGAGCCCTTTCTTACTTACCCACTGACATTGGTGCCATTCATGTTCGATTCACCCAACTAGGAAGAATTGTGTTCAGTGAATTGCACTCAATTTTAGGCGTTTCTCATTCGGTATAATTATTCTACTTGTACCATTATAGATATTTAATGCTTGGAGAGTCTCGTACTTGCAAACTACCATACTAAACATAAGAAGAAACAACTAAAAGATTGGCAACAATGTTTCATAATGCTAGATACTAAGCAAAGTTACTTTTTGAAGCGGCCAAAATCACTTGAAATACTCATAATCTCAAATTTTCGAAATTTCATGCTTTACTTCGAGGTCGTCTTAGTTTTTGTACGCTTCTTTATTATCTATCTCTACCAGGAATACAGAGTTTCTACACAAGTCTATGAGGAGAGTAACACAGTGGTATTGAAGGCGTCTTGTAGGAACAAGGCCCTGGTACAACTCCGCACCAGTCCAACCAATAACAGTCATGCGTGGAAGTAGTTCAGCCTCTCATCTACAAAAATGACGATTGCCTATGGTGAAGACCTGTGGGCGTTCTAGGGGGTGAAGTCACAAAACCAAGAAAAATTGTTGGTATTTTTGTTGAGAAAACGCGAGGTGTTATTGTTCTTTATTCATGAATAAGCTGACGTTTTGGCGGATTTCGCCTTCCTCAGAGCCTGGAAAGGTCAAGTTGACAGCAATCTAATCTACTCGGCCAGACGCCTCCATAACCAAACAAAGAAACTCTAAACCAAGATTTCAATCACGTTGAACACAGCTTTGCACACTCACCGCTTTGTATGTTTCCACTAAGTATGTCATGTAGAGACCAACCGCACAGCAAACACGTGGAAGTATAATGTGCCCCTCCCATCAGAATAGCAGTCTTATGTACTGCCCTATATCACGCGTTATAATGGGGCATTCTTCACTGCGGTTCATTTTCGGATTTCTGGAATTAATCCAGAATGCCTCGAGAGTTTTTCGCGCCTGTGTTCTTGATTCGCGTGCGAGGATCGTGACACATACTTCAAAGTCGTTCCCGTTATGTATCTAGGTCCTATGCGTGCCTAGCGGTGTATTTGGTCTATGTTTGCCGGCTAGGTGTTCTTTTATGCGGACACAGAGGGGACTACCCGTTTCGCCAATGTATTCGTCACCGCACGTCTTACAGGAGATCAGATAAACTATACCCTTTCAACAACTTTTCAACAACTGGTTAAATATCAACACATTCCAGCCCATCTTACGAATACCCAGATGTTTCTGGATCGTCTAGCGCAGCCCAACAGCGCGTGCGTGATGGAGTCCTTCGACGTTACCGCCCTTTATACAAACGTGTCGAATGACTCCACAATGCAAGCCATATTCGAACTCCTTACACAACACGAAGAAGAAATAAACATGTATGGCTTCAAGATAGAGCACCTGATGGTACTCTTAAAAGAATGCTTGAGCTGCTCAATCTTCAGATGGTCTGGAAAGTACTACACTCAAATAAGAGGGTTGGCAATGGGACAACGACTGGCTCCAAGCCTTGCCATTGCATTTATGTCTAAGGTGGAAGCACCGGTGACTGATCTCGGGCCACTACTCTACTGTAGGTATGTAGACGACTGCTTTGTCCTTTGCTCAACACAAGAGGAAATGGACAAATGTTTCGAATCGTTAAACGCACAGTCAGAGTATAACAAGTTACCCGAGAAAAGCCGAAAGAAAAATGGCTTCCATTTTTGAACGTACAAATTCACCTATCAGAAAATGGCTACTTTACGAAGTTGTACCGAAAGCCTAGTAGTAAAAACATCTTGGTTCATTACCTCT